GTGTGTGCCTCGTTTTCACTGTACAGGCCGTCCTTTTTCTTGCAACAAACTGTTCCCTAAAGCCATATTGGTGAACATTTTCCTGCAAAAATATCTCAGTGACGGTAGGATCTTGTTATCTTAACAATTGTTTGCCATCAAATGAATTATAGTTGTCATAACAGTACTGTTAGTAATAGAAGAAATAGATTTTGTATCAAGGCTCCATACACATTTATGAAGGGGCTTCAAAAAATTTATGGAAAATAGAATTGAAATATAATGGATGTACAACCATTGTGGAATGAGATACAGATGTACCTAAACCAACTGGGAATAGAAATCCCATACGATTCAACAATACCTCTGCTGAGTATATATCCTAAAATAAGAGCCATGTGTAACATGCTCTCCTGTGTTCATGATAGTTCACAATAGCAAGAAATTGGAAACAGCGCAAAAGTTTGTCAGTAGAAGAATGGATAAAGAAACTTTGGTACGTACACCCTGGAATATTATGCATCACTCAAAAACAGTGATGACGCCACAAAGCACCCTATGACAATTATGGATGTGGAGAACATTATGCTGAGTGAAATTGGTCCATCAAGAAAGGACAAATACTGTGTGAGACCACTGTTATCAGGATAAACAAGCTCTTGAGATTGCCTAATAAATTTACTATTTTCATATGTTCTATGCTTTTTGTGACATGTTTTAATCCTAAAGACATAGTTTTGCCTTAGCGAATGAGTGCCATTGAAATTTTTGACTTGTGTTTAACCCTCATTGTTTTCTTAAGCATTGTTCAGTCACTTTTAAGTTTTTCAGTCTTTGTAAGTGAACATCCCATGCATTTTAATCTAAAAAGGTGTCCTGAATATGTGTATTTTCATTTTCTCAATAGTATTTTAAATTCTTTTTTTCTTTTTTTTAAGCAAAAGGGAAGAAATGTATTGGAGCCCATACAGGAAACCCTAGAGGGGCCCAGCATACCCTGCTGTGTAGGCATGTCCAGCAAAGGGTCATACCATTCAGTGTACTCCATGTCCTAGAGGGGACTCCCCTTGAGCCAAGCCCCAAAGCCCCAGGACTGGCTGGGGATGAGGAAGTATTTTAAATGCTAAACCACTGACTCGATTGATGTTGCCCTGTTCAATATTTGCATTCATGAAGTGATCACTGAATATATGGGTGCTATAGCAAAGTATAGTAAAGAAATGACATGGTGCCCAGCTACCAGAAGGAATCGCCTTTGGAGTCTTACTGACTTGTCACAAGCAGCTATCTAAAAGTGAATTGTCAGCTAAGTCCAC